AGTGGATGAGTTGAGTACTATAATCAAACTGGTCTCAGCTCATACATAATATCCAGGTGAACATGGTTTTATCAAAGGACTTCAGTAATGTACTTAATGTTATAGCTTCCCTCTAATCTATTAGAGCCACAGTTTCACTTCCAGCTTTTTTGCAGTTAGAGTCTTTGCTGCCTAAGTAGCAAGGCTTATAGACCTGAGCCACAGCACTTAGCTAATTCTGTGAATTTAGATGATCTGAATCCATTCTTGTCAGGGGAAGAATAGGAGTAGCAGGATGTCTTTAAATAAGAAAGTTTTTACCCAACACTTATGTGGAATTCTTATTTCAGTTTGAACTAGCAGTTGATGAGAGTAGTGTCCAACTGAATATCTTTGACTATCTTTGAAGCAGCTTAATGAGAAACTCCCAAAGAAACTGTATTTATCAAGCATGCACACAGGAGCTTTGAAGAGAGAAGGTTAAAGTCATCAACACCAATGAAGGAATTTGCAAGAAATGACCAGGTCAGGAGAGGATTAAAACAAGCCGTTTCAAATCTATGAGAACAAAAGTATCTTTGTTCTTTGAATACGAAGCACACTGGTAAACCTGAACTGATGTGCACTGCAGTGAATTCCTTCCCCTATTCCTTACGCTTTGAAGCTGTGATTCTATTTAGTCACAGAGGCTGCTGAGAGGGGCGGGGCCTCCCTTCTTGATGCCCCCTGTACGTTCTCAGGCATGGTACACTAGGTATAGAAGGAGAGCAACAGAATGTCTGGATGCAACCCCAGGCTGACCAGCTGAGTGAGCACAGTAAGCAAGTCCTGTAGTGAGCAGGAGCTGCACCATCATTATGGAAAGGAGGCTCCTCCAGTTGTCCCCCCCATTTTTTTTTTTTGCATACTCACTTTTAGATGGTTTTTAAACCAACAATACTGATTTAAAACCCTGTATTACTGAAATCAAGTCTTCTCTCAAAGACTTGATCTCAAATAGCTGCTTAGTGGCAGAGTAGTTGAATGGGCAGTGGGACAAACCTAAGCAGGAATCATCCAAAATAAGGTTGTTTGTGTTCAAACCAACCAGACTAAGGAAAGCAGCCAGGGGGTGCTCTGTGTTCGGGCAGCTATATTGCATGGTTGCCTACAGGAGTTTTTTCTTCTGTCAGTCTCTTCTAAGGGAAGCAAGGGATCAATAAGGCTTTAGGACAGCTGGCTCGTCTGTCATTTTCCAGCTGTCTCCTCACTTCGAGCCACAGCTCTTTTGTAGCATAATAGCATCTCAGGTCTCTGCCAGGGAGTGGGATGGGGAAGTTTTAGAGCTTTTCTCAGCCCTGGGCATTGGAGTGCAGGGTTCTGACACATGATGGGTAGGAAGTGAGGATTGAGTGCTTTAAAAAAAATTGGGGAGGTGGGGAGGGAAGGGGTGGTAGGGGAAAAGCCAAGGAGGGGGGTGACAATGCTTGACAGGAAATGTACTCATTACTCATGTAACTCTAACCCCTCTGTACAGTAGCTTTACAATTAAAAAAATATATATATATATTTTAAAAACAGTGATGTTGCTGCATCTCTCCTAAGATCTTGGCTTAGAGCAGCATCTCAAGGAAAATTGCCCAGTCAATGAGCTTAAAAGCCACTAAACTTTAAGCATTTCCTGCGTTGCTTTAATTTGAGTCAAATTTGGCCTTGACTGAATATAAAGAAATAGGAAACAAGGGAATTCCCTATGTGCATGCTGAAAAAGATTTCTAGGTCTGAGGCCAATTCCTGTAACCCTAGCTACCTGAGTACTGCTGAGATCTGAGGATTTTTGGTTCAAAGCCAGCCTGAGTAAGAAAGGCAATGCAACTCTCCGATTAACTACCCACAGGCAAAAGTGCAGCTGTGACTCAAGCAGTAGAGGACCAGCTATAAGTAAAAAATAAAGAAAGAAGGAAAGAAAGAAAGAAAAAAAGAAAGAAAGGAAGGAAGGAAGGAAGGAAGGAAGGAAGCAAGCAAGCAAGCAAGCAAGCAAGCAAGCAAGCTAAGGGTATTCACTCTGGCTCTGAGTTCAAGCCCCAGTACTGGCACCAAGTAAATTTTAAAAAATTCCTGCTAATTTGAGAAAGGATAAAGGTTGGAAGACTTCATGGTTATGAGTCTTCTGAGAACCTGTGGTTCTAGAAAATGTTTCGTCCAGTGTTCAGGGCATGCCCCCATGGCAGAGGGAGGGTGGAGAAATGGGAACTATTTTGCTTCAAGATCTTCTAAACTACATGGAGTTGGTTAAAGATATGTCCAATTTTTTTTTGATACATCTCATGTGCCTTACACTTGTCTTTCTGATGAAAGAGGAATTCTTCCTTGAGAAGAGCCAGAGTCCCTGGGAAAATGAAAGTCCAGAATCTGAGCAATACCAGCAAGCAAAGCTTCCACACCATTAACACTGAGCATGCTCCTAGCCAGCACAAGGAAAAGGCAATCTCACATTAGCAGGGTGTTGCTACTCCTTCCTGATTTATGTGGTTCCCACAATGAGAAGGATAAAAAGTGAGCGGGAGGGCTGGGAATGTGGCTCAGTGGTAGAGTGCTTGCCTAGCATGCATGAAGCGCTGGGTTTGATTCCTCAGCACCACATACACACAGAGTGCCAGAAGTGGCGCTGTGGCTCAAGTGGTAGAGTGCTAGCCTTGAGCAAAGGAAGCTCAGGGACAGCACCCAGGCCCTGAGTTCAAGCCCGAAGACTGGCAAAAAAAACAGGGGGAAAGACAAATCAATAAACAAGAGAAATATCTGGCCTTTGGGGGCATTAGACAGTTTAATATGGAAAATATTATTTTGTGGTATAAAATACCACAATAAAACCTCCTAAAAAAACACTAAAAAACAAAACAAAACAAAACTGAGAGACTAAAACAGACTGCTGTTGGGGGATGGTATTTGTGGGAAGTGAGGGGATGAATGGAGAAGGTGAATATAACCCACGAGAGCAATGAAGCCAGTTGACATTGTTTTAAGAAGTGGGAAGTAGGGTAGGGGAAACTGAGGTTGATGTGGTATACTGTGCCTCTCATCCCAAACTCTAGAGGAAGCTGAGATTAGGATTGCAATTCCAGGTCAGCCTAGGTAAAGAAGTTTGCAAGACCCTATCTTAAAGTTGCTGGGCATGGTGGCACATGCCTGCCATTCTCGTTGTAGCAGTGAGTCTAAATAGTAGGATCAGGATGGAGCTGTGGCTCAAGTGGTAGAGCACTAGCCCTGAGAGCTTCAGGGACAGCATCCAAGCAGAGATCAAGCCCAGGGCCAAATAAAAAGAAATAGTAGGATTAGTGAAAAATGTGAGAGCCTATTCTCAAAAATAACCAGAGAGAGAAAACCAAGGTAGATATGGCTCAAGTGGTAGAATGCCTATGTAGCAAGTAGAGAAGCCCAGTAGTGTTACCCCTCCCCTCCCTCCCCGCCAAATCCCACAAAACTATAGACCCACAAAACCCCTCTTTACCTCAGTAAAGGTAGTAGTCACTCAGGAAGCAAACAGAGATGTCATCAACACAACACGTAAGAGTGCATTAAATAAATATAAATTTTATTAAAAACACTCACATAGCGTTATCAGGAATGATATAATAAACAGCTTTTTCAAATAACCTGCATTCATAACATTACAATACTTACAGTATTTATAGCCATCCTCAGATTTTATAAACCAAACATCTCTCGAAAATGAAATGAAAACTAAGTTAAAAAAATAAAGCATAGAAAAAATGCATGTCCCCGTTCATTATCTTAGTGTCAAACTGCAAATTTCCTAGATGAGCTAACCCACTAGCTTTAGAAGTGAACTGTCACTGTGCGTCCATCAAGATGAAAAAATTCATTCAAGTAAAGTTGACACCCCTCAGAAGCATTTTCAAGTATGGCTATCGAGTCAACCTGATAATTCCTATAGAAGCAAACCGTAGATCGGCTTTCCATTCACTGTGACTGAGGCAGGTTTGATATTTACAATGAGAAATCTGATATTTACAAAATGCCATTCAACCTCCTCTCTTCCTAATCCATTCTTCCCAACACTCTGGACCACACTTCCTGCTCCTGCTGGCCAGTAGTTTGACAAATGACAGCGGACAACACAGAAACCAAATATTCTAGAGGGATGGCTGACCCTCCATCACCAAATGTTTGAGTTAGATAATATAAGTAAAACACATGGCTTGTATGCATAGCATACATTTTAAAAAATGCTTATAGAGCTGGGCCCTGGTGGCTCCCTTGTCTAATCCCAGCTACTCAGGAGGCTGAGAGCTAGAAATCCCGGTACAAAGCCCACCTGGCCGGGGAAGTCCATCAGACTCTTACCAAAAAAACCAAAAATTGGAGCTGTGGCTCAAGTGGTAGAGCACCAGCCTTGAGCGAAACAAAAAAACAAAAACAAAAACACCATAGAGACAGCTCCCAGGCCCTGAGTTCAAGCCCCCAGTATTGACACACAAAATAAAAAGCTTATACATTGGACACACAGCCAAAAACTTGTGATATTTTTTTTAAACTCAAAACAAAAATTCATCTTAAGATCTGACCAATGAAACTCAAAGGACTCCATAGATTAAGAATGTGTTTGAAAAGCTAGTAAGCAAAAATATATTTAGACTGAAATGTAATTATACAGTCCTATTGCACACCATACCTATATGTTGGGCCTGTTTAAGGTAGGGGAGGGGTCTTCCTAGAGTTATAAACTTATGATTGTTTGATAAAAACTACCCCCCCCTAAAAAAAAAAGCACACAAAAAAAACTAACAACAAAAAAAACCCTAGACAAACCACTTTCTTTCAGGATTAAAAGGCTTCTGGCCCAACAGTCACTTGCCAAACTTGTGCCACGCAATTTTCCCTTTATCAGCTCAGTGCATTCTATTTTCATGTAATAATTTCTTCTCCATCAAAAGCCAAAAAAAAAAAAAAAAAAAGGCCCAGTACTTTAAAATGCTTTTCTTTACAATGAATAGCCAATAGATTTACAAAATTACTTTAGGTTACTTACATCAATACATATACAAGGAAAATAGGAGGGATTCAAAATAAAAGGGTTAGATCCCTGAAAGAAAAGGAATACATTTATTAACCTAAAACAATTTTACATAAACACAGGTGACATTGGCATAGGAGAACATGAGCTGAGATATCCCTGAATTTTTAGAACAAAAAGGTTGATGTTCAAGTTATACTTGCTAAAAAATCAAGTATTGATTTAAAAAAAAAAAGTATGCTTTTTTTTAAAGCAATAAAAAATGACTTGAAAAACAAAATGGTGGTACACAATGCTAAGTTTACACTCAGTTCCTATCTTATTGCCACACTAATATTGAGGTATATGACAACCAGGGACATCACTCAAACCTTTAATTCTTCACTCACATTATGATATATTTGTAGCAGGCTGAGTAGCACCATTGTGATGTGAAATCTGCTTTCATCTCATGTAAGTATGGGTGTATATATACATATATATATATATATATGTATATATACACACATATACACAAATATGTATATATTTAAAATTTTTACAGTACTAAAATACTAAAGCCTTGCATTAAAAAAGCTTTGTTTACAATTTAATTTACTATATAACTCTTTTAACTTCTTTATACAAATTAATGATTTTAAATCACCACAGCAAACCAGCTGCCTGTTTTTTATTTATTTATTTTTTCGTTGCCTTCTTTGTAACCATCAAGATTCAAATGGAACTAACCCTGTTTATTCAGTCCACTTCAATCTTCCTAAGCAATCACAATGATGAACACAAGTTTCAACATAAAAGCAGACAGCCGTTCTGGTCTCTGAAGATCACCTAGGTCTGGAGACCAGCGCAAGCTTCAGTAACTAAGAGTGGCTGAGTCTTTAGCATGTGGCTAAGCACAACCCACAGCTAACGGAAAATTCTGCATAAAAAAAGGTACATTTCTGAGTGACAAACTTGTCATACAGTTTTGTATTGGACTGTATAGCATGGGAAATGAGCACCAGAACACATGTGTCTTATGGACTGACGTATTCCTTTGAATCCAGTAAGCTTTCAGGGTGTGTGTGTGTTTGTTTTTTTTTAATCTTTTTCATCTCAAAATAAAAGTAAACCTTTGTTTCTTTCTTAAACGTCTCAGTACCTTCGCATTGTTCAAGTTGCCAAGGCTTAGGTAGGCAAAGTGCTTCTAAAACACCATTTAAAATAGTTAGACATATACATGTATACAAACATATGTGTGTATATGTACATGCGTACATTTATTGTCCTGTAAGGACGTGAGTGGATGAACAAGATCCAGAGGCCATTAAAATGTCCTTTTTTTTTTTTTTTTTAAAGTAAGCTTGTATAAGAACAGATCACTTTGATTAAAAACTTGAATGCAAAGGTACCCCTAACTCTTCAAGGGGTGTTATCACGAGGGTACATTGACAGCAACTTGATGATAGAAAGGCATTGTTTTCAGCTATTAAAGACACCATTTTCTTAGCACCAGTTTGTAGCACATCCAAACAAATTCAGTGTTTTGCTGTTACTCAATGCTTCTTCCTGTAGCTATATTGATAAATAAGTTAATATTAAGAGTACAGTAAGAACTGCATGTTAAAAAGCCATGATTCCAGTATTTCAGTACATTGTATATTCAGCACCAGATGCTATGTGAAGATTCCTGCAACTGTACGGTGACAGTTTTTGTGTCCCAACACTACGCAAACCTTATGTATTATTCAAAGTGGCCACAGATAGGCTGAGCTGTTAAAGGGAATCACATTTACCTATTAGACCCTCCCATCACAGAACCAGTGTTTGAAAATGGAAACGAAATCAAGGATATGTCCACACCTTTTTTTTTGTTTTGTTTTTTGCTTTTTGCATAGAATGCTATTTTTTTTGTTTTCCTGGACACCATTGGTGAATGACCACTTGGGGATCAGTGGAAATGAAGCTCCCCCGTTCCCCTCTCCACCCTGCCCAGGTCTTGAGAGCTACACGAAGCACTAGGGTGGCTGATGTCAGTTCACATGGGGTCACTGGCCGTAGGGGCCTCATATGTACCTGTTGTAAGGCCCCGTGACCCTGGTGAAGGCGTATGGAGACGTGGTCACCGTGGAATCTGTGGTCACCGAGATGGTCTTTTCCACCAGAGACTTGATGAAGCGCAGGTAGGTGGGCTCAGCGGGCTCGTGCGGCTCGGCCGGCTCCCGCTTCGCTTTTTTGCCATGCGTTTTCTGAGGCACATAATCCGGGCCGTACTTCTCACACTCTTCCTCTTTCTCCCGAGCTTTTTCAGCCATTTTGGCTTCCCAGTGCGCCAGGCCGTGCTTTGGTTCATTCATACTCTTGTGTTGGTAAAAGACCAGCGAGATCCTGGTGGGATTGTTCCTATCTGGGTTCTTTAGGGGGGTGGTGGCATGAAGCTCACGCTTTGCGCACTCAATGAGCAGGGACCCATGAGTTGGAGCCACAGCCAAACCCCCAAGGTCAGGATCCAGGAAGCTCTGTTCACTGTCTGACCAGACTTCTTCGTTGTCCTCTTTACCCGGACCCACCGCCTGGACCACAGGCATGGGCTGCTTGTCCTGACTGCCAGCATCGCTTAACCTGTACAGCACGCTGGGAGGAGCGGCAGCAGCTCCGTCCTGGCTCAGCCCTGGAAACATCTTGGAAAGCCCGTTGGTGGTGTGGGCAAGCGCGTTGTTGGTCTTGGGTTGCAGGTTCAGGGTGTGAAGGGAGCCCAGGCCTGTGCTGTAGTTGGGGGTCAGGGGAGCAGGTGGCTGAGGATCATTGTTTTTACAATCTAGGCTTGGGTTGCTGGAACTGGGTGGTAATCTGGAGGCAGCTCCCATGCAGGGGTCTTCCGCCTCGGGAGCCGAGTGGGGACGGAAGGGCCCCGCCTGGCAAACACTTGGTCTCAGGGTAGAACCGCTGGAGGTATCGCCCTGCAGGTTTTGGTTTCCGTAGTACTTCGAAGTGATCCTCTGGTCGTTGCCATACCTCTGCTGGTAGAGTGTGTGGATGGGTGGAAGATTCAGCCTGGAGAGATGATCTTGGTTTGGGTATCTGTATAAATCCATGGGTTGAGTCAGGGACGAATAGGAGCCCAGATAGGAGGAGCAGTTGTCCATGGACGCAGTGCCATTGCACTGATAGGATGGGTACTGGTTATTCTGATTTAAAAGTCCAGGATAGGGGTGCATGGGATTAGAAGAACTCAGATATGAACTAGCAGCCTGGGGGGAGGTGGAATAGAGATTCATGTGGTTGGCGCCACCATAAATATCTGACGGGTGCGGGGAGCTTGGATAAGGACTGATGGGATTGGGCCGTCTCATGTACACATTGCTGGACGTGGAGGAAGAGGAAGAGCTGACAGATTCTGACTGAGGGTTGCTGGTCAAAGTGTGCTGTGGCGGCAGCTGGGGTGCCTGGGGTCGCTGGCTCTGGTGGCTCTGGTGGCTCTGAGGGGTGACTGGTCCAGAATGTCGAAAAAGTTCTGTAGACAGGGTAAGATAGAGAAGAAACAAAGAGACAGGATTATTACTTGGTGAAGTTTAGTGAAGGTATTTTACTATAGGTGTGCACTCAAGATTATGTAACCTTCGGCCTGGGAAGGTGGCTCAGTGGTAGAGTGCTGGCCTTGCATGCATGAGGACTTGGGTTCAATTCCTCAGCACCACATAAACAGAAAAGGAGTGGAGCTATGACTCAAGTGGTAGAGCACTTGCCTTGAGCTGAAGAGGTGAGGGACAGTGCCCCAGCCTAGAGTTCAAGCCCCACGACTGACAAGAAAACATAAAAAAGTATTATGTAACCTTGCTTGGGGCCAGTGGCTCATGTCTGTAATCCTAGCTAATCAGGAAACTGAGACTTTGAGGATCACCATTCAAAGCCATTCTGGGTGGGGAATATAAATCCAATTGACTCTGATCTCTAATTAACCAGAAAAAAAAGCTGGAAGTGGAAATGTGGTTCAAGTGGAAGAGACCCTTCTTTGAGCAAAATAGGCCAAGAAGAGTGATACCCTGAACTCAAGGCTCAGTACTGGCATGGCACATGTACGTGTGTGTGCAAACACATGCATGCACACACGTATGTACAATGCAACTCTAGAAAGCAAAGGCTTTCATTACTATCTGGCATCTTTTTTTTCCTTTGTCTACAAGAGTTAGAAATATATAGAAGTAAAATGCAGAACTTTGAATAGTCTACTGTGGTAAGGGAAGAAAGAATTGTAATAAACATTTGCCAGCAGGTATTCTACTGAGATCTTCCTCCCCACATGCCTGTCTGAGTGTCTCTTCTTTCTTCTTTTCCCCATTTCTCTTCCTTGACTTTGCTTTTCCTTCCCAAAGGTTTCTGCAAGGTCACTTCAGGTGGCTTTTTCAAATACCCATTGCAAGTAGAGGTGTGATGGAGCAAGAGGCACAGGTGTGTTGTAGAAATGGGCTGTTTCTAGACCCCCCCCCCCCTTCCTCTATCTCTGGAAAAGGGGGCCAAAAGCCTAAGATCTCTAGACTGTCAGTAAATTTAATGAATATTGTCTGAAAAAAACCACTCAGAAGGGACAAAGTTCAAACTGATCGTACTTCACAGCCACAGTGGGCAGTGAGCCCAGCTGACTTTATGGAAGTCAGCCAACTAACCAGGATTTATTAACTATCTTTACCATATTGTTCTACATTAACTTAGTCCCTGTGAGCTTGGGAATTCATCAGTAGAGAGATTTGCTTTCACAAAGGATTGGTGGTTGGTTCTAAGCAAATGTGTATCTGTAAAAATATACATTTTTGTGTGCTTTTTTTTTAAAGGCTAAGAAAGAAGAATTGGACTGGAGGCAGGATTCAAATGGTAGTGCTCCAGCCATTTGTAAGAATTCGACGCTCTGAACTCAGTACTAGCCCCTCCCCACCACAAAATATATCTACCCCTTGTTGCCAATAAATCACATTTTAAGATGCCATTTTTTTAGTGTTATAGTCTTAAGACTTGAAACATCCTTAAATTTCTCTTCATTCCAATATTTTGTCCCCCATGGATTTTATTTTTCATTTGGAAACATTTATCATATTTATTGTTATATTTCCACTGGTCCTACCCCAATTTGAGGTCTTGGTTTATTGTATGACTCTAAATGCTCTTCTTTTAATTTAGCTATTTTTTTGCTATCCTGTTGACTCAAATCCCATTCTACCACTTAGCTGTTTAAAAAAATCCACAAATTTCCTGATTACATACAATAAAATCCAAACTTCTCCCAGAGGAGGTACTACAGAACAAGTAGTCCTTGCCCTTTGAGCCCTTTGAGAAGTTTCTTTAGTGCATACAGAACTAGGACCTGGCTGATCTCTTGCTGCCCACATGGATTTCCCTCGCTCAGGATGAGTGGATGCGTCAAGCCACATCTGGCAAAGCCCCTCCCTTCCCCCCTCCCCCCATGGCACTCACCTGCCAGCTGTTTGGCCTGGCCTACAGTTTCAGTCTGCTTTGTCCGTGATGAGGCTGACTTTTCCTTCTCATTCTTGCTTGAGTTGTTCTCCAAAGAATTGGAAAGCTTCTCAGCGGCAGCTTTCCTGGCTTCAAGTTTCCTTTGTCGACAACTCTTGGCCGGCTCGGCTAGCATCCGGACTTTGTGATGAAAACGGGTGAGAACCTCAATAGCACCACTGCGTTTTTTCTCCTCCTGGCCTTCCACACTCCCGAACTCATCCACATCAGAGATTTTGTACAGAGGCAGTACGTGGAGCTGCTCATCCTCAGGTTTCACTCCAAATTCTCGATTGCCTTCTTTTGTGAGGGTGCATACCTGGGAGGGAAGGGGACAGGACAGCTACAGTGGCAGATCCCAAAGGGCTGCATGGGCTGGGTAGGATTGATGAAATGCAAATTACTGTACACCTGTGTCTATTTGAGTCTACTGGGAACTATTACAGGTCCTGACTCTGATTCCAGAGAGAGAGAGACCACACCCCCCAACTAAAGGAGGAAACCTCTCGATTTTATGTATGGGACAAGTGGGAAGCTCATTTTAAAAGATGCCAAAAATCAGGTGCTGGTGGCTCACACCTGTAATCCTAGAGACTCAGGAGGCTGAGATCTGAGAATCAGCCCAGGTGGGAAAGTCCATGAGACTCCTATTGCCAATTAACTTCCAAAAACCTTAAGGGAAGCCGTGGCTCAAGTGATAGAGCACTAGCCTATCACTAGCATTAGCAAAGCCCAGAGACAGTGCGACAGTGCCTAGGCCCTGAGTGCAAGCCACAGGGGAGACACACATACACACACACACACACACACACACACACACACACACACACACACACACACACACACACACACACACACACACACACACACACACACACACACACACACACACACACACACACACACACACACACACACACACCCCTTCCACTGATTTAATCTGATGCTGATAGTTAACACCTACTTTACCTCTGCTCTCTACTCATACTGCAGTGGAATTTCACAAGTCCCATGCCTGCATTCTAACACTGTCCACACACACACACACACACACACACACACACACACACACACACACACACACACACACACACACACACACACACACACACACCCCTTCCACTGATTTAATCTGATGCTGATAGTTAACACCTACTTTACCTCTGCTCTCTACTCATACTGCAGTGGAATTTCACAAGTCCCATGCCTGCATTCTAACACTGTCCAACAAATTCAAGAAACTTCTACAAGGTAACATAGTGAAAAACAGAAGCTGAACATTTGGTTGAATTGCTTGGCAGGTGACTTAACATTTCTTCTTCTGTGGTGATCATTATACATATTTTAATTGTGGTACTACAAAACTACCATCATTGGTTTCAATGCATGATGGTTTTTAAAATACTAGCTTTGGGGGCTGGGAAGGTGGCTCAGTGGTAGAGTGCTTGCCTTGCATGCATGAGGCCTTGGGTTCGATTCCTCAGCACCACATAAGCAAAAAAAAGAAAGCTGGAAGTGGTGCTGTGTCTCAAGTGGTAGAGCGCTAGCCTTGAGCTGAAGAGCTGAGGGACAGTGCCCAGGCCCAGAGTTCAGGCCACGACTGGACCCCCACCCCCCCAAAAAAAATACTAGCTTTTGGGGAGTATTTACTGTTTGCTAAATGGGAAAAATAAGAGACCAATTAATATAATATAAAATCAGTGGAAGATACTTTTAAAAAATGTACACAAGCGCCGCTCTCCGACGCCAGCGCCATGCCATCTCTCGTTCGCCGAGCTCCAGCCGAAGGAGAAGGGGGTGTTGAGGCCGCTCCGCCATGGCTCGCACCAAGCAGACCGCCCGCAAGTCCACCGGGGACAAGGCGCCCAGGAAGCAGCTGGCGACCAAGGCCGCGCGCAAGAGCGCGCCCTCCACCGGAGGGGTGAAGAAGCCGCCCCGCTACAGGCCTGGTACTGTGGCCTCCGTGAAATGAGACGCTAGCAGAAGTGCACAGAACTTCTGATTCGCAAGCTCCCTTCCCAGCGTCTGGTGCAAGACATTGCTCAGGACTTCAAAACAGATCTGCGCTTCCAGAGCGCAGCTGTTGGTGCTTTGCAGGAGGCAAGTGAGGCCTATCTCGTTGGCCTTTTTGAAGATACCAATCTGTGTGCTATCCATGCCAAACGTGTGACAATTATGCCAAAAGATATCCAGATATCCAGCTAGCACGCCGCATACGTGGAGAACGTGCTTAAGAATCCACTAAAACGGGAGGCATTTCATTCTCAATCCCCTCCCCCCCTTTTCTTGTTATCAGTGGTTCTGAATGTTAGATTTTTTTTCCCATGGGGTCAAAAGGTACCTAAGTATATGATTGCCAGTGGAACAATAGGGGACAGAAATCAGGTATTGGCAGTTTTTCCATTTTCATTTGTGTGTGAATTTTTAATATAACTGTGGGGATATAAAGCATTAATGCAAGTCAAAATGTTTCAGCAGTTCAACTTTATAACAATTATAAATCTGTTAAATTTTTCTGGGCAATGCCAGCATTTGGATTTTTTTAAAAATAAGTAAATTTCTTATTGATGGCAACTAAATGGTGTTTGTAGCATTTTTATCCTACTGGTAGATTCCATCCGTTCACTCCACTTTTCTAACTGAGTTGTCCTACATGAAAGTTCATGTTTTTAATGTTGTCTGTCTTCTGTGCTGTTCCTGTAAGTTTGCTATTAAAATACATTAAACTATAAAAAATAAAAAATGTACACATAGTCTCACTATTATATGGAAATAGCGATTAACATGAGATAATACGGTGAGTTTGTTACCTGCTACCCAGAGTTTTCCAAAGTCATGTTGCCAAGGCATCTTTTTCCTCACAAGCAAATACTCCTTTTCACGGTGTGGGTGGGAGGCTGGGTAATCTGGATTTGAACTGAGGGCTCTGCTGCTTTTCTGTTTGCTAGGCGGGAACTTGGCCATACCTCTTGCTCTTCTTGTTCCAGGTATTTTTTGAAATAGGATCTTGCTTTTGCCCAGATTTGTCTGGAACCTGACAGGTGTGTGTTACCATGCCCACTTGTTGGTTGAGATGGGGACTCTTATGAACATTTTCCTCTAATATCCCCAGTAGCCAGGATGACAGCTATGAGCCCCAAGCGCAGGCCCCTATTAAGACATCCAAGGCTTCCTTCCACCTTCCTCTAGAGGCAAATTCCCCTTGATTTTCGATCTCCACACTTTCTATCACCCTCCTGGAAGGAAACAGGGCTATCTCTAGAACCTACAATAACTAAGTGATGAATTATTTCACTCATTTCTCAGAATCTATGGTAGGTATATAGAATCTAGCATAGTAAACGCTGAATGCTTGACAAGGGAGGAATTTATATGTGGTTGGCAGGCCTTGTGTTTCCCTCTAGAATTACGATTATTCCCTACCAGGTATCCTGAATGTCGAGAGATTGTTTAGAAATGGCCAAGTACAGACGATGATTTAGATTACCACTAGGAATTCCCCAAATTCCCCAAATAGTTTTCTACTATTAAGAAAATCTGTTCCGAATAGTAGTTGGTAGGCCAAGGAAGGTCTCCTTGCCAACAGCACTTCATGTATGTATGCTTGCTCTCTAGACACACCTTCGGAGAACCCAGTACTGTAGGTCTCCACTCCCTCTGAGGAGGGCAGCCCCTCTTACCAATGTGCTGCCATTCGGCATATTGTGTAGGTCCCTGTGGGCGTGAGCACAGAAGTCCAAGCACGCAGTCACCCCAGAGAATGGGCGACCTTCCCCCAGACCCAGGCGGCACTCCGGAGCTCTGTGTTCGAACTCAATCTGAGAAGAACAAAAGCATGTGTGTCAGTTAAGGACATTGGGTTTTACTCGTAGATAGACCCCATATTCTAAATACTCTTGGATATAAGCAATTTAAATGCTTAGTTTAAGCCAGGGACCAGTGGCTCAGGCCTGCAATCCTAGCTACTCAGGAGGCTGAGATCTGAGGATTGTGGTTCAAAGCCAGCCCAGGCAATTAAGTCTGTGAGAGTCTTATCTCCAATTAACCACGAGAAAACCAGAAGTGGTGCTGTGGCTCAAGTGGTAGAGCTAAAGAGTACCTTGAGCTAAAGAGTTCAGGGACAGCGCCCAGGCCCAGAGTTCAAGCCCTACAACCGACACCCCTCCCCTCGCCCCCACAAAGAAAAATAGTATCTGACTTTTTCTTTACCATCTACCCATGTAACCATTGCCATGAGTCAGATTACAAAGTGCATAGTCAGCATTCCCTGAGACCATGCTCTTCCCAGGATGAGGCATACATTCTATTTCTTTTTTTCACTTTAGTATCTAAGATTTCCAGTCGGATATTGAAGAGAAGTGATGAGAAGAACCGTATTTGTCTTGTTCCTAACCTTAGGGTAAAAGCATTCAGCCGTTGAGTAAAGTTCAGTATTATACAATGCTTCTGATTGTTCACCTGTTCCCCCTGACAGATAGAGATACTTCCTTTCTATGGGTGCAGATTATTAAGTGCTTTTTCTTCAAAAAACTGATCATATATTTCCTGCTGAAAGATTGAATAACTTCAATCTTTCAAATTATCTTTCAGTAGTTATACAAAGGGGACATTAAGGTTTGTGTGTCAAAGGAGCCAAGCATTTCTGAAAGAACTTCAGTTTTAGTCATTTGGTAGAACTTTTATATATTGTAAGATCTGATTTATACTATAAGACTTGATTTGCTAAGCTTGCAAAGAAATGTTTACACAAGTATTCATAAGCATTGGAGTGTGGCTTCATTTTCCCTTCATGCCTTTCTCTGGTTCTACTGTTAGCCTCAGAATGAGTTGGGAAGTTTTGACACTTAAACTCTGGAACTGTGAACAGAACTGGCAGCATTTCTTCCTTAAATGGGTCAAGGGGCTGGGAAGGCGGCTCAGTGGTAGAGTTCTTGCCTTGCATGCATGAGGCCCTGGGTTCCATTCCTCAACACCACATACACAGAAAAAGCCAGAAGTGGTGCTGTGGCTCAAGTGGTAGGTTGCCAGCCTTGAGCTGAAGAGCTGAGGGAAAGCGCCCGGGCCCAGAGTTCAGGCCCCATAATTGACCAAAAATTAAAAAAAAATAAGATTAAAAAAAATGATGGGTCCAATTTGCTAAAGAATCATCTAGGCCAAGACTTTTCATTTAACTACAGACTACATAGACATAAAGAACAGAGAGCTACACACGGTCTAAATTGTTTTCCTGTAGTGAGCGCTGGCAATTTGTCTCATTTAAAGATCTCTTTTGGGGGCTCTCTCCATCTCCTCTAATTTGCTGGACTCACTCGTATAAAGTGTTAACATTTCTCTGTTTAATATCTAAGGGATCTTTTGTGGTCTACTCTCCTTTCCTTATTTGTTGTAGTGCTGGGCATTGATTGTAGCCAGAACCTTGAGGCTGCCAGGCAAGTAAGTACTCTTCCACGTGGTCCAGTCCTTCTGCACTTTCTATCGTGCCACTAAACTTTGTCCTATAGGCTTCAAACACTTGATACCCCTGTCTCTACCTCCCCAGTAGTTGAGATTGCCAGATCTGTGCCACCATACACCTTTGGGGTGAGCTGTGTTTCTCCCTCCGTACTTTCCCCCGGAAGTACTGAGAATTAAACCCAGCCAACTTGCCAAGCCAAGTGCTCTACCATCAAGCTACCTCTGCAGCCAATATTCCTACTGTATTCCATCTAGTTTTTTCCTTATTAGATTGTCTTTTGGTTTCTCTGATTTGTTCTCTTAGTCTCTGTATTTTATTTCATTTATTCTTTGTATTTTTCCCCTCTATTCTGCCCTTTAGGACTTAAATTGCTTTTCAATATCTAGTTTCTTGAGTAGATGCATCGAATACTGACTTGAGAAATTGCATTTTTCTAACGTCATGTTTAATATCATTTCTTGTCATTTGGTTTGAGATACTTTGATTTCCCATGTGATTTCTTCTTTAGCTCTATCTATTTGTAATAAGTTTGTTGCTAAGTTTCTAGACACTTAAGGAGCTTTTTAGGTACTCTTCTGGTACAGAATATTAATTATAGAGAATATACTAGTATTTTAAAATTTATTGGTAATTGTTTCATAAACCAGAATATCTTGGCAAATATCTACCTTGGTAAACCATGCTTGTGTACCTGGATATTATGTTAATTTTGCTGTTGGATGAGAGCTTTATACACATTAATTAGGCCAAGTGGGTTAAATGTTTTGAGTTTGTTTTTTTTTAGTCTTATGCTTCTTTAATTCTTTTCTTTTTACTTCTATCAATTATTGTGGCAAATTCAAATCTCATTGTGTGGATCTTTGTTTGATGATTCCGCATTTGAACTCAGGGCCTCATACAAGGCAGATGCTCTCCTGATCACTGAGCCACTGGTGATTCTGAAACAGGGGCTCACTTCTTGCTCAGACATAGGTTGAGACTAAAACCCATTTATGCAGGTCATTGGTGTATCACGCCTGTAATCCTAGCTACTCAGGAAGCTGAAGATCTCAGTTTGAAGCCAACTTGTATAGGAAAGTCTGTGAGACTTGTATCTCCAATTAATTACCAAAAAAGCCAGAAGTGGAGCTGTTGCTCCAGTGATAGAATGCTAGATGGGCAAAAGAGCTCAGGGACAGCATTCAGACCCCGAATTCAAGCCCCAGGACTAGCATACACAAAGAAGATTATTTTCTGACATGTGCACCTGCCTCTACCCGACCCTGCTTTTATCATATTAACCAACACGTTATTTCACTTGTCTGTCCTATTAAGACACAAAAATTGCATCACCTTCTTTATGTCTCTAGTGAATAACCACAGAACAGTACCTGATGGGCTTTCACATGTTTTTGTAGTTAATACAGTGAAGACTTCATGGTTCAGGTTTTTTGTTTTTTGGGGCTTTTTTGCCTTCTTTTGGGGTAATGTCTGTCCCAAATTACTTATCTAAGATACACTAATACACAAAAAAGAAGCAAAAAGATGTTCCTGCTGGGTTAATAGAGTCAAGGCCAAACAAAAGGGACTATGGTAAGCTCTGGACATTTGTTTGTACTTTGTTTACAGACTGATAGGCTATTGGAACCTCTAGTTGGGGGACACATAATTTTATTATGATTACTAAAATTGTTTTACCATGGCTTTAGCCATACAAGGTGAGTAGAACTTTAAAAAGTCATCATCTTTAAAACTAAATAGAGTAAAAAATAAAACAAAAACTCTCGTGGATGGTTTGAGTTCTATGAACCCAAAACAAAACAGTGACTTGATTTTAACAATTAAGTTTTAAAAACAAAGGTCAAAGATAAGAATTACCTCAAACATTTTTTACAATAATAAAAAAAATCTTGGCTTAGGTGTAATATGAATAACAAATAATTAAAATCAGCGTGAACACTCATTTAAGCTTACCTGATTATGGTATGCATCTGGTGCAAGCGTCTTGTATTTTGGGGCAAGAAGAGTGGCCAGATTTTGAAAATATGACTCTAGTTTTTCTTCCTGTACCAAAATGAACAATTCAACAAATTAACTTCTAAACCATTCTCCATATAGGGAAGAGGAAAGCAGTAACATTATTCTCTAAGACTGGATCCAAATACAGTGTATACAGCCTTTCTCTATTAAATAATGGTATCATCTTAAAAATGATGATTCTAATGCCACCTAATTTTTGTGCTATTAAGGGTATCTTGGAAAGATTCATTTCTACTTTGCATGTGAATGTTTGGCCTTCTATAAAACAAGTCTATGCTGGTGGGAGGGTTAGGTGAATGAAGCTGCTTGGTTTGAAAGGGGTCAATTTCTACCACCACAGTCTAATCACCTGCCAAGGAAGATAAACTATTTCAAACGATTTTGCAGAAGGGAGACACTGTCCAAAGAAATGTACTCATTGCAACCCCTCTGTACATCACCTTTATAATAACAATTTTCAAAAAAGCACTTTGCTTGTCTATTTATATTTCACTTTAGGAAATTTACTCAAAAGGGAAAATGCTATACAGAGTGCTTGGCTACCTTCCTGTCATCCCTAACTACAAAGACCAGATCTTTCAAATAAGCCACTTTTTCAAATGGCAGGTGGTAGTATTTAGTTGTTGTACTCATTACTGAGATGTTCATATTTCAAATTATCACTCTAAAAGAAAAGGTTCAGGAAGCTGAGCACTGGTGTCTCACACCTGTAATCCTAGCAACTCAGGAGGCTGAGATCTGAGGATCATGGCTCAAAGCCAGTCCGGGTAGAAAAGTCCATGAGACTCTTATCTCCAATTAATTACAGGAAAACAAGAAGTAGTGCTGTAGCTCAGGTAGTAGAGTGCAAGTCTAAAGAGGAGCCCATGGGCAGTGATCAGGCCCAGGGTTCAAGGCTCAAGGCTGGCAAAAGGGAAGGAGGAGGAGGAAAAAGTGGAGGAGAAGACAGAGGAGGAGACAGACAGAGGCGGAAGAGGAGGAAGAGGAGAAGGAAGAGGAGGAGGAGGAGGAGGAGGAGGAGGTTTGGAGATACAAAATTTAGAAGACAAGAAGGACTTTGTATGGAGACCTTCAGTTTAAGAGATCAATAAGGATATAGTTCTTTGGGGTTGGAATCATGGCTCAGTTGGTAGAGTGACAGCCAATAGGCAAAGCATCAGGTACTGAGTTCAAATCTTGGTCTTGCAACAAAAAGAAAAAGCTCTTTTTTGGATTTTTCATGGAAACTGGTTGAAGTGACAAACACCTATCAAGATCTTTATTACAGAAAATAAGATCCCTCAGAAAAGAAATTGTAACATGAGTTCATTAATTTGTTTTCCTTTCATTATAGACGTAGATAGTAAACTTAGAAAATTTTCCATAGAATTTAATTGTACTTAAAAATTTTAAAATAATACACAAGGCATATACAGAGAAATTTGGTCACATTCAAATGCAAAGTATACTGAGGTTTCTTGCTCAGTGAGCAGGCTCTAGACCACATGATGGTCCAAATGCTATTAGATTTTATGGCAACCCAAAAGTTATGCAGTAGATAATTTAGAGGTGGTTTCAATGAGAAATCAGTGTTCACCTACTTCAACCCTTGCATGTTCAAATCTGTTAGGTTTTTGAATGCACTCCCTACAGTAACTTAAATCCTTTGGCATGTAATGAAAATTGATTATAAATGACTTCTGAATGTGATGATCATGAACATGACTAATACAAATTCCAATTTAAAGATACTTATCACCAATCCTAATTTAGGTTCCACACTGAAGAGACAGCCTCTTAACATTCTTCAGTTAACACGAAAAATAATATAAAAGGCTATCTGTAGGAAGAACTTGTGATGCTCAAGTTCAAAGCTCTTGCTTTGGCATGGTTAGGTTAACTTTCTACATTATTTTCATTGTGTTGAGTCATCCGCTACGAAATCCTGGGAATAAGAGCACCACCAGAATACGTCCCATTGCTCCCTTCATCCATGGTCCTATGGAAAATAAGATTATACAGCAGGAAGTAAACCAACCTCTTTTGGATCATCCCCAAGCAGCTTAAATTTTCTTGGGTTCTTGCTTCTGGCAAACTTACATCCATTGTAGTACATGCTCCATGAACAACCAAAAGAAAAGGAGGCACCGAAGGTCTCTGGGTCCAGCCCCTGACAGGCACAGGTTCTCCTGAGAAATCAAAGCATCAAGTTTAAGACTCAGTACAGATTGGACATATACAGAGGAAGAGACAGAGACTGATAAAACTATCTCATGTTCTGGGTGCATGTAATACAACGAACTTGGAATAAAGTCCAACCTCACTCTGGCCTATGCTGAGGCCAAACCACACCCAGAATAGAATTCGATTGACAATATCCAAACCTGTGTGATCCTAGCACTGCAAATTAAATAACTTTTTTTTTTTTGCATTCTATTGCACAAAGAAAAATATGCGTTGCCAGGTGTGGTGACACATACTTGTAATCTCAGCACTTAGAAGGTCAAAGCTTGCTAATTCCAGGGCAGCCTGGTTATGTGAGGAGACAACCGGAAACGTTGACATAATGCAGTGTGCTCAGGTGTGCAGCATCAAACAAAGACAGAGCGATTAGCAGCACCCTGGAATTGCTCTGCTTCCTGCCGGCCCTGTCTCCTAAAAGTAGTTTCCTCAGAGCAGACAAGTTGTTCTGCACAGGTAAATGAAATCAATGAGCCTATTGTGTCTAGCTTATTTTTGCAACATTCTATTTAGAGTCCTTCCTAGTTTTTAACTGAAACATATTGCCTTAATCAGATACAGCCTAGTAACAGACCAATACCTAGAGAAACAAAAGAAAAACTTACATTTGAATAGTCTTAGTGTTTATTTTGAAATCACTGAATGTATATGGTGGTGGAATAATGGGTTGTGGGCCAGGTGCCAGTTGTTCGTGGCTGTAACCATAGCAATTCATGAAGCTGAGAGATGAGGATCATAGTTGGAAGCCAGCTCAGGCAAGAAAAGTCTGTGAGACTCTTATCTCCATAAACTATTCAGAAAATGCTAGAAGTGGTGCACTGTGGCTCAAGTGGTAGAGCACTAGCCCTGAGCATAAAGAGGCTAGGCCCTGTGTTCAAGCCTTAGGACTGGCAAAAAGAAAAAAAAAAAGAAAAATAATGGGTTGTGGTCTGAGGTTGTGGCAAAGTGGTAGAGAATTTTGCCTAGCATGTGTAAGCTTTGAGTTTGATCTCCAGCAATGCAAAAAAATGAACCTCCAACAGTTAGTTACTGTCAAGAATTACAATACAAAGTGAAAGTAGAACCAATTGTAATTAGCCAATAATCTTAACTATGGATTATCTAAAACTGGATAAACCCAGGATTGGAGTTAGAATTTATTTCATGTCATCCCACCAAAGAAGCCTAAAAGTAATGGTATGGATAGACAGACATTAGTGTCCAAATATGATTTCCCTCAAAACAATCATAGGTTCGTAAATTAAAAAAAAAAAAATCAGACTGCTCATTTTCATGAGGATGTAGGTATACTGTTGGCAAGAATATACCAAAAAAGCAAAAACAAACAACCAAAACAACCAAAACAAAGCAGCTGCCTTGGAAGAAAACATGGCAGTTCTAGAAGTTTATTATATGAACAATAACATTCCTAGAAAAATACCCAAGCAAATGTACAACACCACTAAACAAGCATGGACAAGGATGTTCATCACGGCATTATTTACAACAGCAAAAATGAAACAATTCAGGCCCATTCACTGCAGAATGCACAAAGGGCACACACATGCAAAGGCATATTAATAGCTGTGAACAGAACCTAAAAAACTGACTGTTGTCACAATACCGATGAATCTTGAAAACACAAAGGATAATGTTATAATTGGACTAAAATGAAATGTACAGCGTAGGCAAAATTTCCTATTCTAGTCTACATACCATGGCGACCAAAAGTTTATTAGTGGTTGTCATTTATAGGACTGAAGCACCTAATAGACATGGTGTTTTCTTCGTGAAGTGACAAAAATACTCCAGAATACGGAAAGCAAGAGAAGGACTAATACTGTCCAAAAAGAAATGGCCTCTTGACTTATGTAATTGTAACACCTCTGTATATCACCTTTATAATAACAATTCTTAATATTGTAGAATTTAACTCTATTTTCAAAAATCCCTCCATTACAAGATAGAGTAACTGTAACCTCAAGTTGACTTCCTACAAAAAGAGGCTACTAAAAGACAATTTTCTTTTAAATATCATTAGAATCAGCACAAGACTGTCATTTTACTAAGACTCAGATTTTGGCTTATATTTTGATGATGATTTAATAAGACAAATATGAAAATGTTCATAAACAAAAGAGATTTTCAAATTCTTAAACTTTTAGTTGCCGTGTGGTTTCTAAATGGCTCATTTAAGGGCTGGGAAGGTGGCTCAGTGGTAGAGCGCTTGCCTTGCATGCATGAGGCCCTGGGTTCAATTCCTCAGCACCACATAAGCAAAAAAAAAAAAAAAAGCCGGAAGTGGCGCTGTGGCTCAAGTGGTAGAGCGCTAGCCTTGAGCTGAAGAGCTGAGGGACAGCTCCCAGGCCCAGAGTTCAGGCCCCACAACCGGACCCCCCCCCCAAAAAAAATAAATGGCTCATTTAAAAATGAAAATTATATCAGTGACTCAAAAATGTATGCAGTACCAGAATATGGCAAATAGTGGCATACAATGGTAACGGCAGCTATATGGGAGGTAGAGATAGGAGGATCATGATTTGAAGCCACTGCAATACAAAAAGAAGACCTTCTCTGAAAAAATGACTAAATACATAAAGGGCTGCAGGAATGTCTCAAGAGGCAGAGTTCCTATCTAGTAAAACCCTAGGACTGCCAGCAAAAATACCAGAAGAAAGAAAAACTAGCAAAATAATTCAACTTACAGTTTGTTTAATATCAAAATAGAAGTCAACTAAATAACTGAACTAGTCTATGAGTATCAATGGATACAAAGCTATCAAACCAGAGTTAGATGGGGAATACTGATGGGTGAAGATGACAATACTTGAACAAAGAGAAGGCCGTGAATTTCAACACAATTAAGAACCAAAACAGTGTGTGTGCCCTGCCCTGGATGTGAAAACTAAGATGGCACCTAATTTTCATAACACCTATGAAAGTACTTGCCAGTGAATACACCCATGCATGAACACATAGTTTATACCATATAGTAATGTACAATCTGTCTAACTTCTATGTACAGGAGGCTGGGGGTAAAGAAATAAGATGAAACCAACCAAATCTCATGGATTTTCCTGCCTGGGCTGACTTTGAACCACCATCCTCAAATCTCAGCCTGAGTACCTAGGATTACAGATATTGAGCCATGGGTGCCTGGCCAATGTAGGAATTTTAAAGAGAAGCTATTGCTTTAACCAAGCAATTCCAAGGGGGTTGGGGAGAGAGAGAATCACACGTACAAAAAAGCTTCTGAATCATGTATTCCAAACTAGTACACTTTGAAGAAAGAAAAGCAGATCCCAGGAATAGGTACAATCTCATCAGTCAAATGCATCATCTTCCCCTAAGTATGCACTGAAACCAGATCTGTCCAGGAAATTAACAGGTGTAAGCCTGAATACTGACATTAAAATAGTCACACTGGACATCAGTATAAGTTTTTATTTGGGGGAAAAGCCTTACTGTTTGGGATACATACTCAAACCCTTAAAGAGTTGTATCTCTGATTTACTTTAAAACATTAGAGAGGTGGAGATAAACTTTGAGACAGATACATGGAAAACTATTGACAAAACATTGACTAATAGTGATGCCATACAATGAGTACATTTGCCATTTGCTACAAAGAGCTGTTGTTATTTGTGTTGGTGATTTTGTTGCGGGGGGGGGGGGGGGGGGGGCTAGTCCTGCAGCTGGAACTCAGGTCCTAGGCACTGTCTTTGAGCTACTTTTGCTCAAGGTTAGTGCTCTACTACTTGAACCACAGATTTCTTTTTTTGGTAGTTATTTAGAAATAAGAATCTCCTGAGCTGGATCCCTGTGGCTCACTGTAATCCTACCTACTCAGGAAGCTGAGACATGAGGACCATGATTCAAAGCCAGCTCGGGCAAGAAAGTCCATGAGACTCTTATCTCCAATGAACCACCACAAATCCAGAAGTGGCACTGTGGCTCAAGTGGTAGAGTGCTCGCCTTGAGCTGAAGAGCTGAGAGACAGTGCCCAGGCTGAGAGGTCAAGCCCCATGACCACCAAAATAAATAAATAAATAATAAAATAGATAATAAAATAAAAATTAAAAAAAATCTCATGGCCTTTCCAGCCTGGGCTGGCTCTGAACTGTGATCCTCAAATCTCAGCCTTCTGAGTAGCAAGAATTATAGGCATGAGCCACCAGCACCTGGCATGAGTCATTTTTTATAATATACAATTTCTTGCAATGTTTGACACCACGTACCAGGCAGAGAGCAATTCTGGCTTAGCCTCCTTGTGATGACTGATCCAGCCCCACAGCTCTTCCTTGCCAAGGCAATGTTGGTTAAGTTTAGTCATAAAAGAGGACTCTCAAAGGGATGTCTATGGAGAACAGCTGGTGTGGCTCACAGGAAACATACAATCAGTTTTTGACTTTCCCACTACAAGAGGCTCTTCCCTAGCCCCGTGGTGGGTGGTTATGGTGTGTGTGGGGGCAGAGGAAACAAGCTCAGTGAGCTGTTCACACAGCTTTGAAATGGAGTCGGCAGCATAAACCTACTCTGTATTGGCAAAAAGTCCTGAATTTCACTCCTGCCATTCATGAAATATAATCCATTGACAGATTAGAAAAAACTTAAAAACTTACTTGGGAATGAAGTTTCTCTTGACATGTGGATTACGGGTGTGTTTTGGTAATACATTTCTTTTTTGTTTTAAATGTTAATTGTGGACAATTGCTCCAAGTATACAGAGACCCCCCCCCCCCCCCCCGCCCCAGCTTACACATACCATTAAGTAATTACACATCTTTACCCTGAAATTCTGGACAAAGAAAAGCCAAAATATACAAAGAGACCTTTAAAATGTCTTAATATTTACAGTTTGGTACTTGCCAACTATTTATACCAATTAAACAAATTATAGTTTTCCAAGATTCTAGTGAATTTTTCCTGACTTTTAGTTGCAAAACAACAGAATTTAGTAAGTTCTGAA